ATTTGCAATAAAAACAATCATGCAACAATAAAATGTTTTTATAAGAATAACAACGGCTGTTTTAAATGTGGACAATCAAATCATCAAATACGTGATTGTCCTCAACAACATTTTTTCGAATAAAGGGATCGGATGATGGCGACGATCCCTGTGGAGCAAAAACGTCATCAACCACAACAGCATTTAATCCTATTTTTGTCAAAATTTTATGCAACAATACTCCACAAACAGCACTTATCGATACCGGATCGGCCATCACTATTATACATCAACACTTATTAAATGATATACCACATGAAAAATTAATACCAAAAACAATAAATCATTTATCTGCCAATTGCTCAACATTAAATATTATTGGTGAAATACTCTTAGAAATAAATGTTAATGGACTAAAAACAACAGTTATTGCTGATGTTACAACAAATCTTGTTACGAATTTAATATTAGGTAGTGATTGGATTCAATCAAACAATGTTTATATTCTTACACCTGAACAACGAATTATGATCCGAAGTCGAGGTAAAGAAGTATCAACTCCTTTTGTAAAACCACCTCTTTTAAATTATCCAGCTACTCTTATTAATCATATTACTCTTCCTCCTTTTTCAGAAAAAATAGTAGAAGCACAAGTTCAACATAACAATATGATAGATGTATTATTTGAACCAAATCCTCGATTAAAAAATAAAGCATTATTTACTGCAGCTGCATTATTGAACATTGAAAACAGAGGAATAAAAATTAGTATAATTAATGCAACGAATCGACAACAAACACTTTCCGAAGGAACCAAATTAGGTATAGTGACACAATTATCTTCTACAATTGGTGTTACCATACCATCAAATTATTTGATAGAACGCATTCCGGAAGGAAAAGCGTGTAAAGAGCTCATTCCAAAAGGGAAAGAAGCGAACAAATCAAATAAATTAAATTTTAACAACGTACCAACTATAGCATCACACGGAAAACAACATCAATGTCGTAAATGTTATCAACATTTTGATACTAGCAATGAATTATTCAAGCATCTTAGAAATCAATGTTATCCTGACGAAATAAGACAGCAAATAAATTAACTGAACATATTAGCGATGATAAACAACGAGAACAAATTTTAAAAATTTTATGGAAATATGGAAAATTATTTGACATTAGTGAACCATCAAAAATTGATATAATTTTAAAAAATGCTATTGATACTGGTACACACCGTCCTGTTCATATTCCACCATATAGAAAATCAAACAAAGATCAAGAAACCTTAAGAAAAGAAACAGATAAATTATTAAAAAATGGAATTATTGAACACTCAACATCACCATGGTCTTCACCTGTCGTATTAGTTAAAAAGAAGGATGGTACAACAAGATTTTGTGTTGATCATCGTCGTTTAAACCAAATTACAACAAAAGATGCTTTTCCTCTACCAAGAATTGATGATATTTACGACCAATTAACAAAAGCAACATATTTTACAAAATTTGATTTTAAAGCTGGATATTTTCAAGTACCATTAGACAAATTAGATCGACCAAAAACAGCATTTTCAACTCGAGATGGACATTTTCAATTTAAAGTATTACCACAAGGTCTTACTAATGGACCACCAACATTTCAACGTATTGTTAATCAAATATTAGGTCCAAACAGATGGAAACATGTACTCGCCTATATCGATGATATTATTATTTATTCACAAAATTTTAATGAACATTTAAAACATATCGAAGAAGTATGTTTATTATTACAAGAAGCCAATTTTAAATTAAATGTTGACAAATGCGAAGTTGCAAGAGCAGAAATATTATTTCTTGGACATTTAATTAAAGCAGGTACTATTAAACCTGATCCAGACAACATCCGTGGTTTGACCGAAACACGTGAACCAACATCAGCTGAAGAAGCATTTAGATTCGTCACAGCAGCAGAATATTACCGAAAATTTATTCCAAAATTTTCCACCATCGCTGCACCATTACATAAATATTCTCCAGCAACAGTACAACAACAGAAGAATAACAAAAAATTAAAATTTGAATTATCTGCCGAAGCTAGAACAGCATTCCACCAACTTAAGAAAATCTTAACAACTGATCTTATTCTCGATTTACCTGATGATACATTATTATTTAAATTACAAACTGATGCTTCTGTAGATGGAATTGGTGCTGTTCTATTACAAATTACTTCCAATGGTGATCGACCATTAGCATATATGTCAAAGAAATTAACAAGAACACAAATTAATTGGCCAACAATTGAACAAGAATGTTATGCAATAGTACAAGCAATAGAAAAATGGGACAAATATCTTCGTGGACACGAATTTATATTAGAAACTGACCATGAACCATTAATTCATTTTGCAAACAAAGAACAATTAAATAAAAGATGTGAACGATGGCGATTAAAATTAGCTGAATATCGATTTAAGGTGAAACATATTCAAGGTAAGAAAAATCATATGGCAGATTATCTTTCAAGATCACCAGTCGACATAGCTGAAGAAGATATTGAAGAACGAACTCAGTATGAATCAACATCAACACAAACAGATTTATCATTTTCATCATTAAATAATAATTTAACTCCATTAAAAATGACAACAGCAATTACTAGAGCCCAAGCCAAATTACAACAACAAGCAATGGCAACACCATCTATTAAACTGCCAGATGGAAAAATTAATGAGCTCATCCCACAAGGGAAAGTAGCGACTGATGAAGAACTGATAATCAAACCATCAGATGAAAATCCAAATAAGATCATCCCATTTGATATGGATGACTTAAGAAAATGTCAAGAAGAAGATAAAACAATTCAAGAAATAAAAAAGAATATTAAGAATAAAAAACATTATTTTATTGAAGATGGAATATTATTTAAAAAACAACAACTACCACTTCTATCTGTACCATATGTTCCAGCAGGACGAATACGTGGTGATATATTAAAAATTTATTATGATACACCTGCTAATGGAGCTCATTTTGGACGTGACAAAACAATAAGAAAAATTCAAGAACGTTATTATTGGCCAACAATGATAGCGGATATTAGAAATCATTTAGATTCATGTTTACCATGTGCACAAAATAATTATCGTCGTCAAAAATTACCAGGAAAATTAAAACCAATACCACCACCAGAAGGAATATGGAAATTATTAAGTATGGATTTTCATGGTCCAATTACTCCAACATCAAAAATAGGAAACAGATACATCATATCTCTTACAGATGTTTTATCAAAATTTGTTATTACAAGGGCGGTTCGAGATTGTTCAGCAGCAACAGCAGCTAAATTTCTTATTAATGATGTTATATTAAAATATGGCACTCCAACATGTATATTAACTGATAATGGTACTCATTTTACTTCTCAAGTTATGAACAAATTATTTGAAAATATTGGAGTCACTCATCTCTATTCTACAGTATATCATCCACAGACAAATGGACAAATTGAACGATTCAATGCAACTATGGATGGAAAAATTGCCGCTTTATATAATGAACGACGTACAGACTGGGATGAAGTATTACAATTTGTTACATTTAATTATAATACATCAATACATGCAACAACAAAACAAACATCATTCGAAATGATGCATGGAAGACAAGTTATACTTCCATTTGATCAACAAAAAGAAATTATTTCGCTCACACAAGATCCAGAGCATAGTGAAAAAATTAGAATATATCTCGAAAAATTAGTAAATGAAGCTCGAAACAATATTATAAAAAATCAACAACAATATAAAGCTCGATATGATTTACATAGACAAGATTTATTATTAAAAATTAATGATTTAGTTTTAGTAAAAACAAGAAATGTTAGAAATAAATTTGATATACGATATGAAGGTCCATTTAAAATTATTGAACAATTAGGACCTAAAACATTCATTATTCAACATGTTAAAAAATTAACATTAACAAGACAAGTGACAATGGATGTTATCGTTCCATTGGTGGAACGATGGAATTTAATCCAATAAACACATCCCGAAAGGGAAAGATGTGTATTAGATGGCACAATTAGTAAAGTAAAAATAATTATCATTTATAATTAAGTAAAAATGATTCAGTTTGATTCAGCAGTCCATGTCGGGGAGACAGAATTTTACCTTCTCACTGACAAGGAGGGGCTGTCGAACTCGAATATTAAATATTTTTTCTTCTTTTTAATACTTAACACGAAATGATATATTATTCAACCATAATGTGTAACAATCAAAGCACTTTAACAGTATGCGCGCACTGTTTCGTGCAAAGAATGATGCATGTGGTACATTTCACAATTTTACTATGATCAAAACAAGATTATGTTATGTTCACATCTAGCACATCAAACGAAGAAAATTTATATATATCAATTTTTCACCATCGAATATTTAACATAAATATTTACTTATTGATTATCTTAATGATATGGTTTATATACAAATGATTCAATTGATTTATATTTTGTAAAATCATCGAATAATAATTATTGTATATTCCATTGAATACATGAATATTTCGATCGTACACATATATTAACAATTGAATTAAAATATCACTTTTTTTTAGTCAAACTCAACAAACATTATTATGCTATATATCACCAATATCGAAACAACAATATACAATTGTTTATCCTTATAGTTGTTTAGAAATAAAAATTAATTGAAAAAATTAATTTATAGCGTTTTCAAGGTTTACCATCAACAGATATTATCTATTATTTATTATTCCAAAATGAAATAAATGATAAACAATATTTATCTAAACTAATTAAATTAATGAAAAAATTGATGGAAATGGAAACCGACAATGTTCTTGTTTACAAAAAAGATGATAAAATTAAATTAAAATTATCCTCGTGAAAATTCTATACCCCATCAATTGATACAACTCTTATAGAAGATCCATTACTAATGGATTTGCAATTTCAATCATTTCATGTTTACCTTGAAGATCGTTATGTTTATGTCTTAAAGATTTATTTAGTCATTTATCAACGCTTGAACAAAATACCCAACAAATATAAGAGAAATTCAAATAAAATTGCAAATATGCAAGATGAACTCAACCTTGATGTGTGGGGTCACACATCCAATATGGGAGGGGAGGAATGTTAGCGGTGACTCATATCTATCCTGGTTTTCTCTCTCTCTCTCTTTGCAATTGTTATTCTTTTCTTTCATTCTCTTTTCCATTGTATGTCGTTATATACGAGGGCCGTTCAAAAAGTATCCGGACTGATTTTAATTAAA